AATTCCATCTGTCACTCCACAAAGGTGATACATTCTTGGGTGAGTTATTTAACTTCCTTGAACTTCATTTTTCTTAGCTGTAAAATGAGAATAATATTACATATCTTGTAGGCTTAATGTGAGAACTAAATGAAATGAGGTAAAGCATTCAACAAGGCAGGAAGCACTGGGAAAAAGCTAGCTCCCTCACCATCTGGCCAGGCCTCCTAAAAACTACCAGGATATTTCTATCCTATTATATCAGAGATATTACTGACACCTCTAAAACCTGCCATTCTTCTTAAGTTCCACATCACTTCTTCTTAAGTTATTTTCACTTTCTAGCCATATTCCATTACTTTTAACAGCATAGGGATCTATAAGAAGGTAATGGGGACAACCAGTTTTTTGTTTGTTTGATCTAGTAGAGAAGAAGGTCATTAGGAGTAAAAAGAAATAAAATTTAAAAGCAAACAAACCAGTTTTTTAGATATTTAAAATAAAATTTAACTTTACAATTGTATATCAAGTTAATTTTTTTCAATTAACATATATTTTGTGATTAACTTAGAAGTGACCTAGGTTTAACTATTATTCTGTCTGCCTATTTAGAAGAAGTTTCATTTTCGAAGGGCTATAGAACTTCATTAATAGTGCTGCAAAGCCCTCTTAAAGGCTTTTAATTTCTTAAATGAAAATAGAACGAGCTGTTGGCAAGACTCAGCCAGAATCTGTTGGTGGATTCCTTCTAAAATAACCATCCTATCAGACCTACTCACGCTTACCTCCTTCATGCTTTTGGGCTCAAGAAAGAAAAGTTTATAAAGTAGATAAGTAAAACAAATGCAGACTTATTTGATTTAAATACAGTTGTAAAAACTTTAAAAGCTTTTACATATGAATACTCTTTACGAAAAGAACTTTCAGAGAAAAACTTCTGTTGCTGCTTGACAGACAGAAAAAGTGCAGTTGAAATATCCAAAAACTGTTAACGATGCTAATTCTTCATTTTTTAAAATTGTGGTAAAATATCCTATATAATAAAAGCCTAATATGCTAAGTGTCCAGTCATCTGGTCAGCCATTCAACCAATCAAAGCGTAATATGGTAATGATATGCTAAGGCCACTCAACTGCTCGCTATGACGTGCACTGACCACCAGGGGGCAGACAGTAGACCAGTTGCTATGATGTGCACTGACCACCAGGGGGCAGACAGTAGACCAGTTGCTATGATGTGCACTGACCACCAGGGGGCAGACAGTAGACCAGTTGCTATGATGTGCACTGACCACCAGGGGGCAGACAGTAGACCAGTTGCTATGATGTGCACTGACCACCAGGGGGCAGACAGTAGACCAGTTGCTATGATGTGCACTGACCACCAGGGGGCAGACAGTAGACCAGTTGCTATGATGTGCACTGACCACCAGGGGGCAGACAGTAGACCAGTTGCTATGATGTGCACTGACCACCAGGGGGCAGACAGTAGACCAGTTGACCAGTCACTATGACGTGCACTGACCACCAGGGGGCAGACGCTCTGACCGGTAGGTTAGCTTGCTGCTGGTTTCCGGCCGATCAGGACTGAGCGAGATGGGTTGGACATGCCCTGGAGCCTCCTGCAGTCCCTCCATGGCTGGCCAACCTCCACATCCCTCCCTGGCCCTGATCATGCACCAGTGGGGTCCCTCGGCCTGGCCTGCACCCTCTCACAATCCGGGACCCCTCAGGGGATGTTGGAGAGCCAGTTTCGGTCCAACAGTGGAATGACCAGTTGCTATGATGCTCACTGACCATGAGGGGGCAGACGCTCAATGCAGGAGTTGCCCCCTGGTGGTCAGTGTGCTCCCATAAGGGGAGCGCTGCTCAGCCAGAAGCTGGGCTCACAGCTGGCAAGTGCAGCAGTGGTGGCGGGAGCCTCTCCCACCTCTGCGGCAGTACTAAAGATGTCCGACTGACAGACATCCCCCAAGGGCTCCTGGACTGCGAGAAGGCACAGGCCAGGGTGAGGGATCCCCTGGAGTGCACAAATTTCATGCACCAGGCCTCTAGTTCGTAACATAAAAGTTACCATTTTAACCATTTTAAGTTTACAGTCACATTGTTGTGCAACCACCACCAAGCTAATTCTTTTTCAATATATCCAGATGCTTCAACTCATTGTCAGCACTAACAAGCCTATATTGTTTTCCCAAATAACATTTGCAACTGGAACTCAATATTTTCTTAAGGAAAAAAGCATGTTGACTAAATAAGAGATGCAATCCACAGTATTACCATAATAGATTTTCCAACCTAAGGTTTCCATGACATCAGTAAACTATTTCCTAACAATCAAATCCAACTGTTTTAATAACTATACTAATAACTGAACTCAGCCCACAACCTTGGATATTGTTAGAAAATGAATACTGAAGTTCAGAAATGTGTAATACTGATCACAAACATTTCTTAACAGTAAATTTTAAGTGAATATATTCCTATAAATTAGACCCATTGTGGCTCAATGATAAAGGATAAGGATAAGGATGGGCCAAAGAGCAGGAAAAGAAGATATAGTACAGATATTCCAGAGCCACACATAATCAAAAGCACACCACACCATTTAGGCTTTGTTTTGCCCTTTAGAGAAGAATTTTCTAAGTTCCTTGATAGGCATTTCTAGGTATTGACATATTAACCTGCAACTAGCTTTAAAATAATTAATTTCAAGGGTAGACACTGGAACTGGTGATAAATAATTCATCTGTCTAATAGTCACTCCAATTAATTGGGGCAATTTGGCCTTGGCATCATATTTGGATATTAATAAAAACATTTCCAAGTCATTCTAAATTGTGAGATACTGATTAATCACAGATTGGCTAAAGCAACGTTTATTTGTTTCAGGAAGTATTTATTGTGACTTGATTGGAAGAATGACATGACCTTTATCTCTTTTCAGTAGATCCCTCTTATAATCAGTAAGATATGCCTGCTATGAATGGGGGGGGGGGGGTTCCATATACACAATCAGCAGCTGACAATTCTTAGTCAAGCAATCTTTAACTTTAGGGGGATCTATAGTTAACTCATATACACAAAGCAAGCGTTTCATCTTCATCATAAATGTAAAGTACAGTGGCTTACATCTTACATCCTACGTATTGGGTTCCTATTGACATCAGTCAAGCCTAAGTGACAACAATACAGTGTCCGTTCAACAAATAAATGAGGGAATAAATATTCTAGGAAAGGGCCTTCCTGGAACAAAGAGTTACCGTTACTAGAGAAGGGAAGGCAATTAAGGGAAGGGGAAGGGGAAGTGACTTTTACTCTCAGAAATAACAGGAAATCAGACTATTCTAAAAGAATATATACAAGCTAGAGGCCCAGTGCACAAAATTCGTGCATAGGGGGGAGGGGGGAGTTGGTCCCCTCAGCCCAGCCTGCACCCTCTCCAATCCGGGACCCCCTCAGGGGATGTCTGACTGCCGGTTTAGGGATTGGGCCTAAACCGGCAGTCGGACATCCCTCTCAGAATCTGGGACCTCTAGCTCC